CTTTTAAGTAAGAATGGCTAATATGTTCTCCTTCATTCCTTGTGACCCCATGGTTCCATTTGATTGGCAAATAATTCAAAGATTTTTTGAAATACCGTTGATTACAGACCATATCAAATTAGAATCCATCAAGGATTACTACAATCATTCCTTATTTTTGGTTTCCTTTAATTGAGATTTGTATAGCTAAGTGATAATTGAATTATAGTTTTTCCTTGTACAGAACTTTACAATATCTTGTATTATTCTCTGAACAATTATTGAAATAGGGAATCCTATATCTCTTAAAACCTAATTTCTTTTGTTTTATTCAAATAAAGAATCCTATATCATGGAGAAAGCAATTAAAAATGATAAGTACACCAAGAGTTTTTTTTCCTTGCATCCTCAAGATAAACCACAAAGTTCTTATGTCTTCTCTACTAAATGGAGAGAAACTACACAATGCAGAGCAAAGCTGCGATGAAAGCTCAAGTGCGATGAACAAATACGGATTTGTCAATGACCATTTCCAAACCTTCGCTTGAGAAATCCTACATTTTGCATTCTGAAAGCAATGTGATGATACGGTGACTTCCTGGATCATAAATGCTATTATCACATAGCTTGCAGGCATTGCTATCTCCACAAAAACAACTAGTGTGGTTCGAATCTTGAAGAAAGATATCGCAATTTAGAGGACCGAGAATTTTCAAACTACAATGATGGTTAAGTTCATGTAATTCGGCAAGTGTACGGATCGTAGCAAGTAATAAAGTGGATTTATTAAGTCCAAGTATTTGTAGATTTTCCTCGAAAGACTACTATATACCATCATTTAAACTAACATTGCTCCAATTCAAGTAAAACGATAATCGCTTATCAAATCAAAATGTGGTTTGTTACTAAATTAAATAATGAAATCAAATTAACGCAATTGAGAAGATACAAGGTTAGGTAGTTAGGATTTTCGATTTCACTTTGGTAGTTTAACATTCATCTAATTTCAATTCATTCAGCCCCTTTTCATACATGCCAATGATCGAATTAACCTAATATAGCTAGTGATGTCTCGAGAGCAACACTAACCATATTCATATGCCCGAACTTACTATATCTCTATGTACATTTACACACATATGAATGCTTTAACTTACAGGAATTCTATATGGATCGCATAGCCTATAGTTATCCCTTGATCTCTTATAATACCTACGTAATTTATTGCACGAGTTAGAATCATACATCACCTTTCGGTTTTAGTACTATTCCTAAATCAATCAATTGTTGCGCATGCAATCGAAGCATTAATAACGCAATAAATAATTAACAGGCATTAAAGTGGCATGAAATCTTCGAATTAAACAAACACTAAGCTACATCATTAATCCTGCATGAATTCTCGATTTAATAATTGAACAAAATTTGGAAAATATATTTATGCCTTCTGCCGTCCGTGAGTGCCATGTGTGTGTTTTCTCCCCCTTTTTATTTGATTTTTTTTTTTGCCAGTCACATGTTTGCATCCTAGTAGGACTCTAATAGTCTAAGGGTCCGTTTGATTGCAAAAGTGGAAAATGAGTGGAAAGAAAATGTTTTTGAGGGAATTGATTCGCCTAGAAATTGTTTTACTGAGAATTGTAATTAATTGTGTTTGATTTTTATAATTTTCCACTTGAAAAATGTTGAAAGTTTGGTATCCGTTTGACTTAGTTTTTCATAAAAATTTTCTATTAAAGTGATAATTTTTTCTACCATTGGGTCTAAAATTTGTTACAATTGCCAAAAAGTTAAAAAAATAAAAAAATTGTCATCCCAAATATCATTCGTTTGGCTTTGTTTTGCATGAAAATTGTCAATAAAATGGATAATTTTTTTTACCATTGTATCTATAATTTTTTTTTATTGCCAAAAAAATTTTTAAAAAAAAAGAAGCTGGAAAACAAAAAACCACATAACCAATGGGAAAACAAATTCACCAATTTGAAGGAAAATGAGGTGCGTGAATGGTGGCTGAGGAAATGGATTCCAAGTTAAATTATGACAATCAAACAACCATTTTTGTGTGGAAATGGAAAATATATTCCATTTTCCTTGGAAAATGGAACTCATCAAATAGAACCTGAGTAATTCTCCTTCCACTTTCCTTGTTTCTCCCTCCAGCTTTCGTAGTCCAAAAGGATTCTAATTCCTTGTAATTTCGATGCCCATCCAATTCTATCCCTTTTTCAATTGGTCCAAGCCCAAATTTGATTTTCATCCAAATTTCCTGCCACCCTCAAAATTTATAATTGCATTCAATGCTTCATATATTTCAAAATGTGCAAGTCAATCCTTAGATTTCTAACATGCAAAATTTGATCCCAAAGTTGTAGATTTTATCCAATTCCATCCCTCTTTATCAATATTAGCTCCAATCCGAGTTTTCTCCTTACATAATAATAATAATAAAAAAAAACAAATAGTTAAGTATCAAATTCATAATAATACCAATAAAAGCCACTTTTGGTGGCTTAAATAATTGTAAATTTAACACTTATCCGGTTAGTTCCATATTTCAAGGTTCTTCACCTATAAGTACTTCTCACACTAAGACAAATATTTTCCTCTCACTTTCTTAAGCAAGCAATGCTTGATATGAAATGGAGAGAGGCATAGGAAAAGAAGTTAAAGTTTTAGAGGACCATTACACTTGGGAACTCCCTTCTTTGTCCCCCACAAGAAGGCTATAGGTTGTACATGGGTGTTTAAAATAAAAAATGTATCTGTCGGCACTACTGACCGTTAAAAAGCTCATTTGGCAGTTAAAGTTATGACCAATACGAAAGGCAAAACTATTAGGAAATTTTGCACCATCGGTCAATCTAACGAGAACTCTACTAACAATTTTAGGGGTTAAAAACTAGGATCTTCATCGAATTGTCATTCTTTCTTGCATAGAGATTCAGCAGAAAAAGATTGCATGTAGCTCCCCATGGGGTTTTAAAAATCTAGAAATTAGAATATAGTTTGTAAACTCAAGAAGTCTCTATATAGGTTGAAGCAAGGTTTAGGTCAATGGTTTGCAAAGCTTAATAGTTTATAAAGATATGGTGTTCTATCTCAAAAGTACAACATTTTAAAAAGGAGTCCAAATCCTTATATGTTAGCTATTTATTTCATCTTTAAAACTTACCATTTAACATACCCACAATATGTGGTTCGTTCGAGAACATCAAGTTTGGAGTTTGAGTCTGTCACGTCAATTGCTCATTTAGTATGGATAATACATAGAGAGTAGCTGGAGTTGGCAGCTCTCTTGGGGTGTAGGGGTCCATCTAAGATCCCTGATGCAAAGGATCAACTTCGCCCTTGCAAACAACTTGATACACTATCTCCCTTTGTGCATTTAAAAAGTGGAATTTATGTCGGCCAATGATAAGTTTTCCTTGAGTTGCTTGAAAAGTTCAGTCTCCTTAGCGCATGTCACTTGAAAACACTCATAATATAGAATATGAAGTTAAGTATTGGAGAGTTCATAATGCATTTTATGTTGATTGGAGATTCTTACATTATGTAAAGGGAATGGTCGACCTTGTTAAGGAATCCTTCTTTTTGCATATAGTTCTTTCACTAGGCTATGCTTTAATGACTTAACAACATTCCCATTCTCAACATTCTATCACATGGCATTTTTGCTGATTGGAAATTCTTCAATCTCTATGATGGAGTATTGTGAAGTTAGATGAGTACTTTATTTACTTGAAGATTTTGGCATTGCATTCAGCAGCCAATCTCACATTAAAAAATAGGGGGCTCATTTGCTTTTAGAAGTTCTTGAGGTATTGACTTGGGTTCATGAACAAACTATACATGTAGAAATATTCCGTCGTCTAGTTTTCAAAAAGTACATAAAGGAATTATGTCTACTGAGTTTGTTCATTCTCATAATCAGCTACCAAGCAGATGATGGTACCAAAGCCCTTGTTGGGGACATCTTCCATCGTTTACTTTCCAGAAAAGGTGCTCAAGATCTTCACATGCGACGTTGGAAATATTATAGATTCCAGATCATAAGCAAACAGAATCAAAGGTCGCTACAATCATTGTTCAGTTTAATTTCCTTTAATTGAGATTTTTATAGCTAACAGTTAATTGCGTATATAGTTCTCATTAAATAGGATTAAGATTATAAAGATTGCACTGAAATAAGCAAGTTTAAGGGAAACACATAAATGAGCATTGATTGGTCTATATATACTTCATGTCATGATAGAAAAAAAAAGAATTATCACTTTTTCCTCCATCTTGGATGTGCGGAGCACAAGACGTAGAGTTTATGATTGAAAAACCAAAAAAGTCGTGAGGGGTAAGAGGGCAGATACCATCCCAAAGCGGACACTACATAATTTAATGGTTTGGGCACAAAAGTCGGTTCGTTACAACTTATTTTGTGGTATTTAAGTACTTCTAGAACAACTCCACAATTAGTGCATCTAGCTCCAGATCCCACATCACCACACATAAAGTCACGTCTACAAACACATTAAGCATTGAGAGAGCCTTCAAATAGCCTTCACCAGCCATGCATGACAATTTTCCAAATGCCATCACAGCCGACTGAAAATATTTCTGTACAACAATTGAATGCAAAATATATCAATTGTGCATCAACAATTTCATGTGATTACTAGGAAGAAATGGCAGATATCGATAGATATTAAGTACCTTCATGTTATCATCCTTTAAAGGCTCATTAGGGGATGATATTCTCATTATCCCAGTGAAGCACGATGTCACAGAAATCTTGAAGGTTCTTTCAATGCTTAAGGTGTTTGCAGACGTGAATTCATGTGTGGTGATGTGGGATTTGGAGTTAGATGCACTACATGTGGAGCTGTTCCAGAAGTTCTTAAATACCACAAAGTTGTAACGACCCGACCTTTGTGCTCAATCCTTAACTTACATATTGTGTGCTTTGGGAGAGCCATCCCATCTTACAAACTGAACTGTTATTCTCATTATCTCAGTGAGGCACTATGTCATTCTATCTGTACAACAATTGAATGCAGAATATATCAATTGTGCATCAACGATTTCATGTGATTTCTAAGAAGAAATTGCAGATATTGATAGATGATAAGTACCTTCATGTTATCCTCCTTTAAAGGCTCATTAGGGGCTGTTATTCTCATTATCTCAGTGAGGCGCGATGTCATGGAAATCTTGACATCCATTTCTCCTTGTCCCAGAAGTCTCACCAGTGCCTTCTTGGCTAAAGGCAGCACCTTTTTCATTTCGTCTTTCTCTTTCTCTTGTCTTACTTTCGACAATAGATCCTCTATTTTCTATATGCCCAACAAAAACCAGAAAATTCAGTTATGTTAAGCTGGACATAAACATTACCTTAAAAAGAAGGAAAAGGAAAAACAGTTAATGACACAAAGAGTAATGACTTTTAAAAATAATGAATAGATAATATCAACATTCGTTTTTTTACTGTCAAATATCTTCACTCAGTAATGTAGAATTGTGGAGATCAAATATGATGAAAGTAAACAAACATGAAAATGAATCAAAAGGGGAAGACAATTGACGACAAAAAATCATTAACAATCAGGTTTTCTTTGCATTACAAAAACCTGATTTTAGATCTAAATAATTATCACATAAGTAGGTTCCAGATTAATTATGAATTCATCATTGTAATGAAAAGTTTTTCTGGCCTTCCTCTATTGTCCATTTATACAATCAATTACAAATTCTTCAATACTGACCCTTGAATGAACCGAAAGTGATTGACAGAATTACGATTACATAAAACACTCCGATGCCTCTGACAGAATTATAAAAAGATTTTAACCTAATCTGTCTAGCAGTGGTCAAGACAGATGTTATACTTTTATACTCTGACTTGTCTTTTATGCGTGTATGTTGAGATTTAATCGAAGCACTTCTTCCTGCAATGATGTTAAGGGTTGTAAGGAAATTTCCCCACAGTTCACCACATCTCCTAAGTTTACATCAAATCGACAAAACAACACAGTGAAAATGACCCCCTTTTAGAATTTCTGGCCATCAACGAAACAAACCTAATTGTAGCTTCTTTTCTCCATCAGTGATTACATGGCCAGATTTATACTTCAATGTAGCCATATCCCTCAAAAATTTCCTATGTTATGAACTACTACATCGTCACAACTCCAGTGAGGCTACCACTTCTAAACCAACAAGTATTCGGACTAAAGGAACCACTTAATAAATGAGAAATTTTGGACATCATCAACCCACAAAGAGTTTAATTATCAAACGAATCCTTTAACTTCAAATTCTAATCCTTTGCAATTAAATAACAGGAGCTGAATCATCCATAAACTGAAATCAAGCACATATGGATCTCAAATAATAAAAAGACAATCCACAAAGAGTTTAGTTGTCAATCACGGATGATTTTTCCCTTTTTTGTCAACCACCCCTTAAAACAAAACCATTGAGTGCCATCAGCAACATTCCATGAAGAGTTTGATTATCAAAATAATTATCAGAAAATCATCTATAAGAAGAATCAAACACTTCATTGTGTAATGAAATTCAGTCAAGCAAAATCCTTATGTAGGCCAAACAGCAAAATTCATGTAGATTGTTGTGATAGAAATATAAGGCTTACATCCAATTCTTGCAAGACCTCTTCGTTGATATACGAGAGCTCCAGAATAGCTTTCCCGGCCTGAATGACATTTGTGCTTAACTGCTCCTCGGCCTCCTCTGAAAGAATATAGTCAGAAGCCAAATTTCCAGACATTATTTGTTCTTGCGAACTGGAAGATGAAACCGACATTTACTCTTTCGCTCAAAAATCCTGAAAACAAAGAGAAATACAAGTAAGTGACGCCAATGCAATTTAAAACCAGTAGAAGAAGTAAATGAATAACGACATAAACCAAAACTTGACAGCGAAGAATTTACTCAAAAGATGAGAGATTAACGCGACCAAATTACGGATTCTATGAAACATGTAATACATGCAAGATTTCCGAGACGTGGCATTGCATTTACAAAAATTTCAAATTTCAGTAAAGGAAAATCCAAGAAATTTTAATGTGCTTGGTACCAACTTCTGGTGCTTTCCTTTCTTTTTCTTTTCCACTTTATTGATATTTCTCTGCATTTATTGTGAAATTTTTTATCCAGATTTTCCTTCAAAAATTCTCTTCTTTCGCTGTTTGAACTTCAATTTTTCAGACTGTACATTACTTATATCTGATTATTAGTTGGCCTATCAAGTACAAATCTGTCTCATTTTCATACCCAAATCTCGTAAAAGGTTATGAACCTTGAATTTTAGGCAAATTGGCAGCTCTAGTCCCCAATAAAGAACATCAAATTGATCACGGAGAAATCCCAACTGCGTAAAAACTTCGGGCATTTTACCGGTCAGTAATCCAAAAAATCAAAGCAAACTTACAGTACCTAATAGAACTTTTGACATCAATTCCTGCAGCTTCCCTTGATCCTATTGGAGGTGTGCGCCTTAAAAACAAATCCCGACTCCTGGTTTATACTTTACTCCTGGACTGCAATATCTTGACGCAAGATTCTAACTCATGGTATCTCACCTTAGTCCTCCTGAATTTGTGCTTCTACAACAGTTCCCAATCCCTGGTATCAATTTATCTCCGGTGGATTAGGTGGTTTGGTGTTTGATCAAAAGATCTTGTGTGTTTTAATTTGTGGTTTAATATGATACAATATGGCTTGATCAACAAAATATGTGTTGGAAGAATTTATGGACCAAGTAATATGCGGTAGTTGAATCTTGGAATCAATGAATGTTATAGATTATCAAAGAATTGATCTTCATGGAATAAATCCGATTCAACGCACTTTTGGATGTCCCATAGGGTATATGTTTATAAGATTATAAGAGTAGTGTTTGGGATGAAAAGATACTCAAAATCAGCTTGAAAATAGAATTTTACTATTCCTCGAATAATTTGTCGCTCGAGCTCCACACCAGCAACACACAAGCGATAATTGAGCAGTCATCAATATTTTTATCATAACTTTCTCTTTCAATATTCCATTGAGGTGATTCAAAAGGTGTTAGAAAGCTAACTCACTGGGATACAATTCTTTGGGAACATCCTTGTCCAAATTCCAATATTTTCTATGTGAAAAATGCATTGCAATTTGCGATTGAGCATATGAAGAATAACTTGTATGGATCTTTGACACTCTTTAGACTTCTAATGAAATTCCAATGATCATATGTGATATTCTTGAACATCATGGACTCTTTCACTAACTATAATACCAACCCCAACTATTTTGACTTTAATTAGGACTCGATAACTCTTATTTTGACTTTGATTACAAACCGATAAACTCCTAATACAATTCAACTAGAACTTGATAGTGACTAAGGAAATTGCCAATTACAAATTTAAAATTGTCAATTATAATTTGGACTTAACAATCTCCTCCTTTGGAATTCCGTGACAAAATCATATTTATTTTGAAGTCAATAAGTCCAAATCTACTCCAAAATAAGCTTTTCAAAAATTTATTCAATACTTGGTCAACTTTTTTTTTGGAACAAGTGAAAAGTAAGAGAAAACTAACTATACCAAAATCATATATCTAAGTTAAATAAAACACATAATAAAACACTATAACACCGAAGCATGCAATATCACGTGAATTATAAACTTAAAAATAAAACATAAAATTTTATATCAATATAGAAAAAACACAAAACTATATCAATAATAAAATTCCAGTAAATATATCAAATGATCCCCCCTAAGTCAACTATCAATAAAAAAATTTAAAATTCTCCACCTAACTCATATAATCAACTAAAATAAATATACATCTCTCCCCCTTTTTGTCATGAATAACAAAGGAAAGACAAATAATAATCATGTCAAACACATAGGGGAATGAGTAAAAAAAATATACACGTGTATAATGATGCAAAAACATGTGATAGGAGAATAAAAAATTTCCAATCTCGAGACCAATTGTTTTTTAAATTTTCAAAGATTTTCAACTTTATCATCATGAACATTATTTTCTTTCTGATACATGCATAGTTCATAAACAAGTAAACTTTTCCCACATAATTTACTTCAAAACCTAGATAGAGTAAATTCTATAAGTCATTCATGTGTAAAAAGTGTCATTAAACTCATATAAGTAATCTCAAAACCTTAAGTCAATGAGAAAGGACATGCAAATAATCACTAGTGAATGAATATATTTTTGAAAGTATGAAGTCAAATCCATTGTTACTAGAACCTTTATATATTAAAGAACTCATAATTAATTGGATAATTTTTTTCTTTCTCCCCTATCTCTAACCACATACATATGTATTTATATTTTTCTTTTAGTTTTCAAATCTTATGCTTCATTAAACTTTTCTAAGTGATCCATATAACAAGCTTTAGGTCAATGACTCCAAAGTCGAATAACTTATAGGGCACCAGGTATTGAAAAACTCTGCAAGGTTAATCATTCAAATCATACAGGTTGCGAAAAAAGTGTCAGATTGTCTCATAACATTTTATGTAATTCAAAAAAATTTCCTTGAAGCTCAATAGTAATGTTTCTTTTTAAAGAAATATACAAAAGCTTAAGTCAACTAGTTTAAAGGTCGTTCAGTATTTAAAGTCGATTCACCACACAGATGACCGACTTCCCAAGTCTCAAACATGCAGTCATAACCCACTCACAAGAGTTTAATATGTGCGGTGTAGAATGTACATAAAATAACCTATACCAAGTACTCTAGTAAGTTCTAAATAATGTTAATGGAAACTTGATTCGCTATACATTAATTATGTAAGTACTTGATCACAAAATAACATGTCCAATGACCTCACTTAAAAAATCTATATATTTTTTAAAAAATCCTTTTCCATTTTTTCGTTCTTTTCATTTTTATAATAATAAAATAAATAATGCAAAACAATTAAAATAAGGAAAAAATTTAGAGTGCATGCATGAATAAGCAGATACCAAGAACAATGCATATACATGCACCTAAATACCTAATCAATAAGGCACACAAGTGCTCTTGTCATGAAGAGCAACATGAGGAACATCGCAATTATCAACATCACTTAGACTTGTGAGTTCACTCTTCTTGACCCAAATCCTTTTAGAAGAAGACGTAATTTGAGTCAATTGAGTAATCTATTTTGTTAGGTTTTTAATTATGTAATTGGCAATTCTGTAATCATAAGGGACTTAATTGTAAATGTTCTAAAAAATCAAGAAGTAGTGTGCAATTATATAAAAAATAGGATTTTAGGTATAGTTTTCGAGTATGGCAAAAGAAGGAAAATATGGCGCAGATTTTCGCTAGCTGTCGCCATGGATTGGCTCAATCGTAAAAAACAGAACATTCATTGTTAGACTGTCACCATGCTTTAGCTCGAGCGACAGCCTATCACTCGACTGTCGTTGAGCTCTGGCTCGAGCTACACGTTGTCCGAAAAAATTTTATCTCGCAATTTAAAGGCTTTTTTTCCTAGCCCATTACTTTTCTAACCTACCTATAAATACCAAAATACATCTAAACGTGAAAAATAAGGTTGATCATTGAGAGAGTTCCATAAGAGAGAATTCCTACACATTCCTACTTTCAATTTTCATCTTTTGAGTTTGTTTTGGTGAGAAAAACATCAATTTCGTAATCCAAATACCAAACCGTTCTTTCTACCACATCTATCAGAGATTCTAAAGATTGAGGAAAGTTGACTGGAGTTCCAGTCGTTGAAGAACGCGGTGTTGTTCGTGGATCCACAGGAGATAAACGATTTCACAAAGTTAGGAGTTGTTGCAGGATAGCACAATCTAAGAGAGCTTTGGAAACTGTGGCTGGAAGTGATACAGGAGCATAGAATCTAGGAGAGATGTTGGAATTGCAGTCAGGAGATCAGATAGTACGTGTCGTCGTCTAGGCTGGTAGACTGTAAGTTACAAATCGCTTATAGTAGATTGTTGACTGGCAAAGTGCCCGGAGTTTTTACCCAGTTGGGGTTTCTCTGTGATCATACCGTGTGTTTTTACTACTTTCTGTATTGATTATATTAGCTGCAGTATTTAAACATAGGTTAAATTGACTTGTATGTTTAATCATCTAGAGATAATTAATTGGTGACATGTTGCTAATTAATTGATAATTTTAATTCCGCATTATATAACTATTCACCTCATCTAGGTTTTGTTAGGGTCGACCTACGTAACTTTCAATTGGTATCAGAGCCTTAATTCGATTCCTGACCCTTTATAATATCTAGATGAGTCAGTCATTGTCTATGCCTTCATTTTTCGACGGAAGCAACTATGCCTACTGGAAAGTTAGAATGAGAGCCTTCCTTAAATATTTCGATGAACGTATTTGGATTAGCATTCAAAATGGGTGGGCTCCACCTTCAACAACCGTTGATAGTGTACGCACACCCACTGATATCTCTCTCTATGGGCTAAAATTAACTTAAAGGAATGTAACAGAACAGTAAAGCATTACATACTCTGTTCATGACTGTGTCTGATGAAGAATCTAGGAGAGTCTCGATGTGTGAAACTGCCAAAGAAGTTTGGGATATATTAGAAACTACACACGAGGGAACTAAAATGGTTAAAAATTCTAAACTGTAGATGTTAACCACCATGTTTGAAGATATTAGGATGAAGGACGATGAATCGTTCAATGAATTCTATGCGAAGCTGAATGATATAGTTAATTCGAGCTTTAACCTAGGTGAAAGGATTCCCGAGTCCAAAATCGTTAGAAAAGACCTTAGATCCCTACCCGAGAGGTTTAGA